TCGAACACCTATTTTTATGTAGGTAATTGAAACAAACATTTTACAAAATTAATTTCAAACTCAGGTAAAAGTATATACTGTATTATTTTAATCACCATAAAGTAACCAATCGAGGGGAACTGTGATATTTGTTTATGGTCACCAATTTAATATTATAAAACTATATTGGTTTAAATTGAAAATTTACATCTCAGACAAAGTCACTTTGGAATACAGAGATGTAACTAAATAAGTGATCCTAAATGTCTGTATTAAATGTTTTTAGTAACGTAATTACTGTCCAAGGTACAATCGATGGTTTGAGATAATTTGGAGTAATTAGTTTGTGGATATTCATTAAGTTCCCAGGTATACTTCATGTAATCATTGCAAAAATTAAGCTTATACAATTCATTAGCTATTTAACGATCACAATCAGAGTTTAAGTAACATATTTCGATTATATTTAATTAATTTTACTGGGAATGTCATAGAGCATATGATGTTCATATAATATGTATTGTTATAATTTAGAGAAGATAATAAACGCAATGAAAATATAAACTTAAAAAATCATATCATATTTATTGTATAATATTTTATAAATTTGGTTAAATTAATCATTTATTTTTAACCAGTTTAAAATATGTTATTCTCAAAAAAGTTAACTAAGTTAAGTTTAAAGTTTAATTACTATTTTTTAAATTACTCAACCTCATATTTTGTAGGTGCCAACTGAAAAACAGTTACATTTTGGGGTAGATTAATATGAGCACAACAAACCTTATTAAAAAAAAAAAAAAATTGGCAATATATTATTGTATAATAATAAATAATAATAAAAGTAAAATAAATAGGAACACAATTGAAATATTACAAAAACCATTTATTACATTTTTAACAATGAAGGTTTTTGATGTTGTGGTCAGTTGTAGACCATCTCCCTGGCAAAGCAGCTAGTCACCGACAGCACTAAGGGATTGCTCTACGTGAGCACTTGATGGAACTGTGATATTGTACTTTAAAAATGTTTTTAAGGCAATAATTTTACAGTTCCCATGTATTTAATGAAAATAATAACCCATTCTTTAAAAATAAGAAAATAACTTTTTTGAATTAATTTTAATTATAAAACAAATAACTAAGTAAAATTATTATTAATCAGAACTAACTAAGTTAATAAGTTTAGTCATATTTAAACATACATTTTTTAGTTAAATTAACAGTTATAGAAAAAAAGTAACTTTGAAACTATAGGTTACTACCAAAATTTGGACTCATATTTATAATTAAGTAAGGAAGTAATATACTAAAAAGTAAATAAAAAAAAATTCTTAGGGAATTTTTGGAGTATTTTCCTCACTGTTTTTAGAAACATGTTTATCACATTGAAATTTGTAAGCAGCATATTTATAAGGTTATAAAAAATTAATCCATTATTTTTAAAATAAATTGACGAAACCACAAAAATCAATCATTAATTTTAATCAAAACAAAAATACGGACTAATTAATTTTTTAACCGACAATTTGATTGCTTCAGATGTTTTATTTCAAAAAATTGAAATTTAATCATTTTTAAACGGGTTTTTAAATCATTTCTAATTGATATCCATAATTGAACATTAAAAAACTTTGTTTACTTTAAAAAATAAATGATAAAAATATATTCCATGAAAAAAATTATCAAACCTTCATAACTTTCTTGCTCCTATGAATAAGTATACAACCATCTAAAATGGTACACATCAAGAACTTTTATGGTTTATAAAAATGCATTAAAATTGCATTTGGCGCTAACTAATGCAACAAAATACAGGTACTAAATGTAATAAATCATAAAGTGAAATTTGAATAATATTTTATTTATATTTGTATATGAGAAGTTATACATTCATACATCCTATATAAATAATAAACTTATATAGGTACGTATTATTATGCACATTTTAATATTATACGCGTGATATAAATACATAGGTACAAGAAAAATATTTTTATTGTAAGTTATGAGTTCTGGTAAAACTCATAAAAGAATACCGAGCTATCTGAGCTCGAGTTCACACTCAAAAGTTAAAATGCAAACTGTCTTCAGGATCCTTATCTAATACATTATATTAGGTATATACCATTTATATTTATATTGCATATATTATATTATATTATCATTGTTATGTATTTTAAACTATTTTAATGAATGTTGATTGTTGTACTAGGAGTTTTGAATGTGTTGTAAAGAAAGCTTTGCAACATAAATCAAATTATTATAATACAGTAAAACACTAACCGTATAATAGAATTGTTAATTGATTTGTGTTGGGTAAGTAAAATGAACACCTATAATATATTATACATAAAGTAGATACCCACTACCCACCTATAATCAAACAAATGCGTGTTACATAATACATGAGTATATTTTTTAAATATTTATATACGTTGGTCTGACAGGTATAAAAAAGACGAGCATTTAACGATTTATTATTTATAATTCCGAACGCTTTAAATCGGTTTACATGTAAAATAATTGTTTTGAAATAAAAATGCAACAATAATTACAATTTACAACCCATAAATAAGTAGTTTGCGAAAATGTTCATGAAAGTTCATTCAAATGTTAAATACGCAACTGTTGTTTAATCTTAATGACGTACATTTTATAGTTTGACTTCAAGTTGTAAGCACCACTTTGCATAATAATTGTTGAATGTAACGCGGTAAATCATGCACAATTAACATCTATTATTAATTAAACCCATTTAAACTTATTATATTATATTATACCTATAAATTACAATTATTTATTAAATCATAATTGATAAGAAAAAACCTTCTAAATGATATAAAATATTCATAAAAATAAAACAAATGTAGTCACATACATTTTGTTAATCAAACCCGTAATCATCTGACTCGTTGGGTTTATAATAATAAACCGATTACCATCTGTCAGCTACCACATAGGTACATTGACACGGGGTGGTATATCATAATTGCGTTGCTCTATAAATAAAATAACACACTCAGATAATATTGCGACGAGTTACTGTGTTAGCTTAGCTAAATGTGTATGTATAGGTACTTAAACCATGGATTTTCAACCGCGGTATAGTCGGGCTGTTTGGCGTTTATTTATAGTATATACTTTCATCTGACGTGCTCAATCTGTGTCCTAGTGTTACATCCTCCCGGACACGTACCTCTACATAGCGCCAATATCGTTAATAATATTTATTATTGTTATTATTATTTATTATTTATTGCCTGCCTAAAGTGTTCAAGTGTGCCGCCAATCGTTGACATCGAATGCGAAATGGCGGAGGCTACAGCAGTTAAAGGTTAGATTAGGTTACGATATTGTTATAATATTGTAATTATTATTATTTTTTCGGCGGTAGTATTTAACATTTAATGCAGTATACCACTACCCATGTATCTGCGTATGAACGAAGCTGTTAAGGTACCTACTATCAATACGGCAGCTTTCGCTATTAGTTATTATCGTGTCGCATACGAAGTATTTCATGGTTTTGATATAAACCTACAAAGTTTGGTATATTAGCCCCGACAGTTTGTAACCAGTAACCACAGTCGATCGAGTTTGAATATTTTAACGATAACCTTTGTGGTACCAATTGGTCCATGTTATGAGTGACCAATCATTGAGTATCGTTTCAGTGTTTCATACAGTTAAGCGAATACTGCAGACGTCGAATAGAGCCTATGCTTTTCACTGTCACCATTGTCCGTGTAATCCCGAAAACATACAATAAATAGTTAAAAATACTATACTACTTCATGTTTGGTTTGGTGGTTATTAATGACTACCAAAACGTGTTACCAAAACAAAATTATTTAATTTGGTGAATAACAAGAAAATTCTGAACACCGACCACACAGAACATGATGATAGTGGGTACCTTAAAATACTGCGTCGATTATTATATTAACAATAACCACCTGTGACTTGTGAGGTGTGTATACATATAACTTAAACATACGTACGTGTATGTATTACTTTATGTTATGTCCAAATGTTCGGATCTTTTTTTCAACTCTGGTGGGCAAAAAGGGGCGGACACAATTAAGAACCTCTCTAGCTAAGGGGACTGAAGCCTCCTCCCTTAAATACTATTCTAAAGACGCCTTTCATTTATATACAAAAACCCTGCAGCAAGTCTCCAAGTTCTAGCAATATATACCTACCATATTATTTACTTATTTAAACTAATATATAATATTAGTTGATATGATTCCTATGATTCCTTATATAGGTGATATTTCAGAACCTTCTTTTTTTGGTCCTGCTATTGTCTCACGAGAGTTTTAAATGTTGTGACGTACCTCTATAATGTTATAGCTACTATTAGTTGAGTTCTCATTTATGTAATATTCGTTCGTTTTTTCTCGCATGCGTTATTTCAAGTAGGTACGCAAGAACAAAATTGTACGAATCCAAACCGTCATAAGCTCGATCTAGCTTGATACAAATCGGAATTAAAATTGGCTTTGAAAAAATCATAAATTCGTGAACCCGGTTCGAGGTCGAGTGAACATTTTGACAATTTGTTGCGCGCTCAACTTTCAATGATATAGGTACAGTGATAGCACTATGTACCGTGCAAGATATTTGTGTCCGACATGTATCATAAGATAAAATTAAATAATTATGTACCTTAGTATTTAACCCGACGACGAACAATTGCTTTTGCATAACTTCACGAAAATGCTTAAACATTAAGTAATTCAATTTAAGGAAAAACACCCAAAATAGAATAACATATCTAACCCGTACCTGTAACTAGATAATAAGTATAACAAGACGGTCCTAAGTCTGTTAATATGGAAAGAAATTATAATTTTATACCAACAATAGAATGCGGCGATAACGGTTTTACTTGTTCTTGCACGTCGGAGAACACAAAAATAAACTTCCAATTTAACAAACGTGCGTTTTGCCTACAGACAGGAATCGTAATTCATAATATAAGTACGTATTAATATTTTACAACGTGTACTCACGGTTTGAGGTTCGAGGTGGTCTGTCTCGCGCGAGCACTGTCGGCCAGGAAAACGCGAGACGCTCGTCGACAGAGGGCGAGAAGGTGGTGGATGACGATGACAACGGCGACGCGTGGCGAATACACCTTGCACAAGAGCAGTGCCGAAGTGACTGGCCGGCTGCGGTACGACGTACGCGACTGCTGCTGCTGCACTGTCTGGTCGCCGGCCGAGGACGGTGTCTCTCTCTCCTCCGCCGACGCCGCCGCCGCCGCCGCCACCACCACCACTACCGCCTCCTTGTCCTCAGCCGCGACCGCCTCTGCCTCTTCCACGCGGCGACTACCTACTACGTACGACGGACCGTCGGCTCTGCACATTATAAAATTATTATTATTATTATTATTGTTATTATTATTATTATTATTATTATTATACTCTCTCGAACCGAAATAATAATAAAATCGGCATCGGGGCTACACAGCTGCTGCTGGTCATGACGCCGCCGTTTATTATTATTATTATTATACTCTCTCGAACCGAAATAATAATAAAATCGGCATCGGGGCTACACAGCTGCTGCTGGTCATGACGCCGCCGTTGTCGCTCTGCCAGCCAGCCTGTTGTTGTTGTAATCCTACTATTGTTGTTGTTATTATTCTACGACGGATTGCAATTTGCGAGACGACTGATCATTCGAATATTCGGGAGTTGTATAATAATATGCACCTAGTAGCATTGCTAATAGGCAACTAGTGGCGATATAGATACCGGTGGTCGAGCATTGTTTTCGTCCGAAAACTGCGTATACAGTTGCAGTCTTCAGTTATGGGGGTTTATTAATTGCGCTTGAAATGACCTTAGATTTTAATTTTCAATTATTTCCATGTACATTGTTTAATACCTGCGTGTATACCTACAACAATGTATGATTCAATGGTTCACACCTGAAGGTGGGTGTGGGTGTGGGTGACCGCAGTTCGCAATTTTTGGTAAGGTACCTACTGACCGTTAAATATAAGGAGCGCCAACACTGTGGTACACTGATTCTATAATACAAATGTCAAATTTGGCGCAACTGGTTTGTCCATAGCTCCATGCCCACTGCAACCGTACATATCATAAGAAGCGGAAAGATTTATTTTTTATTTTTTATTTTTACGTAAAATGTTAAGACACCGTGTAAATTCGTGTAAACACATAATGTACTATAAACCCACGTAAAAAGCTATATATTTTTGCAGGTGTGTGCATATTATAATATTTATTGTAATTATTATACATTGTTGAGTTTCAACGTAACCCACCCATCCACCCGCATACAAAAACGCACGCACGCGACGACGTCGACGACGACTGGCAATGCCGCGACCAGTCCAGTCCGCATTGTCCGAGAGAAACGAGTTTGTATAGCAGCTGGCATAGGTTTCTTCGTAATTTTTGCTTTTATTTCGTTCTTTCCTTCTCCGTCGTCGCCGAACCGATGTTTGCCCAAGACGTGACGCGTATACATCATGCGATCAGGGGACCACTATAATATTATTACTATTATTATCATTATATTACACGATGCGACGATGCGTTCAACTACTGCTGCAGACGTCCGCCCCACCAGCAGACCGATGGCGACCGTGTGACGGTGCGAAGAACGGTACGGTGTTGGGAAGAGGAGGGAATATAAATAATTGTGGACGACCTATACACGCAAACACGTCACAAGTATAAATGATATACCTATAGGTTTCCGGTTTGTATATTATAGACGCGTTGAACTCACTAAAGACGGTGGTTGGATGGACGAATCACGGACGGGCTGACATGTGCGGCTGAGTGCCATATGCATTTTGTACCACACTACCACGGTAATAATAGTATGTAGTCAGTGACGTAATTAGGGAGATTTTGGGAGGCCAAGACAACGACTACCGCGTGTATTTTTTTTTATGTGGTAAAAATGTACTATAATAATGTTTCTATCATTTAATACGTGTAATATTGGCAGCCCAGCGTTGACTGTTGAGTCCAGACAAAAAAAAAACACCTAAAAATTTTAACTTATCTGGATACAAATGAAAACCACAATATTCTCATTTAGATAATGAAATAGACATCTATTTTTTTTATGTGTACGAAAACACATAATTATAGGTGATTAGTAATAAATAATAACGATTTTTTAAATATTTTTATAGATGAATAAAATATTTAAGTTAAGTTCTAAATTTATTATGTAGCTTAATAAACCAAACTCACTATTTCATACGCGAAGGAGTAAAACTTAATTTTAAATACGTCGTTTTCAGATCAAATTTCGAGTATCGGAGTGTTCCTCGTACGAGGACCAATTGGTCACTGTAATTGATGACTTAAATTGGAGTTCAAAAATAAATCATTGTATGCGAAAAACGATTATGAGCGGTGTGCCAGCCTCTATTTCCAAGTTAATTAAAAGTTTTATATAATTTAATAACTATACAACTAACAGTGGTGTACCCAGTGGGAGGGCTAAGGAGGCTTCATCTAAAAAAACCGCAATATGTTTGTTCATTGCACTATAGGAGTATGGACTATAGTCTACTATACTCGACTTATCTGAAATTTAAATAGGCATATGCAAGTTGCAACTTGTTTACTACTTGTTGGAAATTTGATTTTTAAGCATTGAATACACTGAGAATTATTCAGTTTCGGAATTTGAAATTAAAAATGTGTAAGTAGGTAGTAATGATTGTATATAGTGATTTTAAAAAAGTAAAAACTCTAATAAATCTTATATTTTTTAAATGTTTAATGTTTTTGAAAATAATGAGTGCATAGTGTATTACTTAAATAAATCATTATAATGCATGAAGGTGTTAAGTTAGGTGTATATTTACTGTAGGATATATTTTTATCATATTAAATTATTTAAATTTAAAAAACTAAGGGTGGGGAAAATAATTTATCCATCGAAATCGAAATCATAACCTAATTGTTTGTTTTTAAATAAGTCTCATACGTACCCATATCGTTAAATAATATTAAGTGAGTATCTGCTACATATTACAATGAAGGAGTTCATAAAAAAATTGCTAAGTACAACTAGTTTAAACAAAATAATGTGATGATAATCCTGAAATTATAATTCATGAAATAATATTATTTGTTCATTTCTTAACCCAAATAATGCGATAACGTTGACAATACGTCAACATATTATACAACTGGAGAAATGTAAAATAAATGTGAGCTGTACGCATATATGTTGTACTTTATGTAATAATTTGAGAGAAAAAAAAATTTTTAATTTTAAATGTATTGCAATATTTTTTATTTTAGATTAAAGATTTTTTGTTGACATATATCTGAGGCAGGAGTTGAGAAAAATGATACGCTTGCCACCCATAATTACGCCTGCACTGGTATTTAGTGTACAATTCTATATTATTCTATGATGATAATTTAAAACGAAAAAAAAATACCTTAAAAATCTTGGGTACTCCACAAATAACTATATTATTTGTTTTTAATTTATTTTTCAACTAGTAACACATTAACACTGAACGTTGAACTAATTATTACCTAAAATATGGGCGGATAGGCTTACAAAGAAACAGGGAATTTCCTGAGGTGCCCTTCCGTATTTGGGCCATGTTGCCCTTTTTCGTCGTTTGATGGAATAACGCCTTGGTGGAGTTCATATGGAGTATAAGTATATGAACCATAGTAACTACGAAACCTACAAGTGCATATTATGAACATATTATACATTGATATTACACAAATATACAATACAAATTTGAAAAGAGATTTTTTATTTATTTATTTTTATTTATTTGGATCGTCGCAAATGCCCAATATAAAATGAATATTAGATGATCGGTAGAGTACACTTTTCTAAATTAAATTCTTAGTAGTGTTACTTATAAATAAGCAATACATTTTTAGAATAAAATTAACATTAAGTTACCTAATTAATTTAGTTACAATAAAGTTAAGTATAAAAACATCTAATCATAAATTATAAAGTAATTCTTATATATTATATTTTATTAAATTATTGAAATATCCATACCCCATTCTAAAATTCCCTGTTCAAAATTTCCTTTTTTCACTTATTTTTTTTTTTGTCTAATGAAAAACACTGAGAATCTTCAATCTTGACACTACTTTATTCGATTTGTTACCAGAAGCCACCTTTAAAGTGGAAAATCGATCATTCTTCGAATACTAGTCGTTTACATACCTATACCTACACTATAAAAAAAAAAGAAAATGTAAAATTAATACATTCATTAATCCGTTCAGAATTTAAAATATGCTAAAACAGGAAATTTTACGAAAAACTAGTTTTTGAAAAAAAAAGATTTTTTAAATTTGGTGTAAATACGAAAACGAATAATGAATATTTATAGATACTTCAAATTTTCACCGATTATAGCGGATTTTTCATGTAAGGGCCACCATTACAATTTTCTGGTGAGCCAAAAATGGCCAAATACCTAATAACTCAAAACAGTGTAGTAAGAAATGATGGCTACACCATTTAAGATATAAAATTAAGTACATAATATATGTGTTTTTTGAAGGATAATGTGTACTGTTGTCTGCAGTATTTATATACACGAGTGCGTGGTTCCAAAATAAATTATGTTGCTACAAAATGTAATTTAGACTTTTGCGCCAGTCAAGTCAATATCGAGTACCGAAGTGAGAGATGTATATCATTGAATATTGTGAAAAGGTAGAGCTTTAAATAGTTTAATAATATTTTAATTTAGTAGAAAAAAATATTTTTAAATTGAATACGGTGTAATGTGTATAGAAAATAAAACTATTCGTTTGAAATTTCAACGAATTAATATTTTTTTAATTACGACAAAATGACCGAAATTGATAGAGAAAAATGGTTATTTTTTTAGAACATTTGTTTTGGTCCAAAATATATTAGAAAATACACCTCAATGTAAGACTAGGTAATATATATTTATCACGACACTCAGAATCTATAATAAATATATTATGATAATCGATGCATCCATAAAAATATTAAAATTATTAAAATTATTTAATTATTAACATAACATATTACATTGTAAACTATAAATAAAAGTTGGTGTCAAAAGATCAAAAACTTAAAGCAAGGATCAGCACCTAAAAATAATTTGCATCTAGTTCATATTTATTCTATTTATTTTCCAGGTTAGATTTTCTAACCTGAAGAATAATAATAAGCAATACAACCAAATAATTTCTGTGACATGGGTACAC